TAAAATTCTCAGTGCTTTATGAAACTGGGAGTAATGATAAATGAAATGAACCTCCTAATGGGAAGTAGCAACTCTTCAATCCAGTAATACTGAGGCAATAGAAAGCAAGTGCACTGAGGTTTACCCCATCCAGGTCAGAACTCTTGGAAAATGCTCTGCAGATTTCAATTCAACACTTCTGTGTCCAGGTTAACCACTCTTACGGGGGCTTCTTGGTGGAGTAGTAATGGATTTCTACAGTTCACTTGTCTGCATAGAGGTCGTGCTGTGCCTGGCAGTAATCTCCACTGCCCTTCAGAAACTCCATAAATGTGTGACCAAGAACACCACAGAACTGCTGTTTATAAGAAAAAGAAAGAGAAATGTTATTTTCAAATTCAAAAGCAATATGTTATGTTTTATGGTATATAAGTGCATAACTTATCTTTTCAAATTAGGACACAGCTACCTTTTCACATTGTATTTGGACCACAAAATACAAGTCGGTGACTGCAGAGTAAATTAACAAAACAAGCAGTCAAAAATCCATTTGAGGGGCTGGGAAGGTAGCTCAGTGGTAGAGTGCTTGCCTTGCATGCACGAGGCCCTGGGTTCGATTCCTCAGTACTACATAAGCAAAAATGAAAAAAGTCAGAAGTAGCACTGTGGCTCAAGTGGTAGAGCGCTAGCCTTGAGCTAAAGAGCTGAGGGACAACGACCAGGCTCAGAGAGTTCAGGCCCCACGACCGGACCCCCCCCCCAAAATAAAATCCATTTGAGGAGCTGGGAGGGTGGGCTCAGTGGTAGAGTGCTTGCCTTGCACGCATGAGAGCCTGGGTTCAATTCCTCAGCACCATTTAAGCAGAAAAAGCCTCAAGTGGTGCTGTGGCTCAAGTGGTAGAGCGCTAGCCTTGAGCTGAAGCGCTGAGGGACAGCGGCCAGGCCCAGAGTTCAGGCCCCATAACCAAAAAAAAAAAAAAAATTCCATTTGAACTGAAATTAATCCTCAAAGAAAAATCAGTCACATTTGGTGAAAATCCACCATATATATTTACATATACACAAATTATTCAATTCATTGCTTGTTTTTCATTTTATACCTTCATGTACAGCTATTTTGAGTTGTTCAAAATTTTTGTATGCATTAGTCAAAACTTCATGAAATTTCTAATACTTTAGTCCTTGCACAAAAAGAAAATAGCTGTATGTTCCTTCCCAGTTTTATGCTTACAGTTATTGATAGTGGTGAGAAGGAGCTGTCAGTTAAGGCCATTTTACAGGTAACATTTCTTTTTTCTTTTCTTTCTTTTTATTTTTGGTGATTGTGGGGCTTGAACTCAGGGCTTGAGCACTACCTGAGCTTTTGTGCCCAAGGCTAGCACTTTACCACTTGAAGCCACAGCTCCACTTCTGGTTTTCTGGTGACTCATTGGAGATAAGTCTCACAGACTTTCCTGCCCAGCTGGCTTCAAACTGTGATCCTTAGATCTCACTCTCCTAAGTAGCTAGAATTACAGGTGTGAGCCACCACTAGCACTTGGCTGTAATATTTCTTTATGTAGCTATTGCTCTGTAACTGCCCTTTCGATTTTAGTTTTTGAAAGGTTATCTTTAACAAATATATCTTATAAACAGACTGGGTTTCAAACTTTCACATATGCCTCATTTATCCTCTATAAATCATTTAATTCCCTTTAATTCATTTGAAACAAACCTGTTAAAGTCTAAGGATATTCATTTATGAACTTAAAAGGAAGTATTCTTATAATCATAAAAGATTTGTGTGTGCATGTGTGCTAGTACTGGGACTTGAACTCACGGGTCTCACTCTCACTTGGTCTTTTATGCTCAAAGCCAGCATGCTACCATTCCAGCCACACTTCCACTTCCAGCTTTTGAGTGATTAACAGAAGATATCTTTCTGCCTAACCTGGTTTGAGCCTCAAGTCTCAGCCTTCCAAGGAGCTAGGATTACAAGCAGAAACCATCAGGGTTAAGCAAAAATATTCAGGGTCTTGGGGGCTTTTCTTCCTGGTTTTTATCTGCAATCCTCAGATCTGTCTCCTAAGTAGCTAAGTTCACAGGTGTGAGCCACTGGTGCCTGGCAATGACCAATTTTTAAAGTATTTCACTTATCAGGCTTAAAACAAATCTAATTCAGACAAGGAAAAAGGTAACAATGGTTGGTGATAGGAATTTCGACAATTGTTCCATAGATCTCAAAGTTATGATTAACTCTGATACCAATAAACACGAATATATTTTTCCATAGTTTTTAAAGAATTAAAACGTATTTATGTCAATACCAGTAACTAAATATCCACAAGATATTCTCACCATATATAAGGCATTTACGTTAATTTCCACCTAAAAGCAGTTTTGGATACTTAAGAGGCAGTGAAGGAAGAAATAATTTTAGGGGCTGGGAATGTGGCTTGGTACAGTGCTCGCCTCGCATGCATGAAGTCCTGGATTCAATTCCTCAGTACCACATACACACACACACAAAGCCAAAAGTGGCGCTGTGGCTCAAGTGGTAGAGTGCTAGCTAGCTTTGAGCAAAGGAAGCGCAGGGACAGGGCGCAGACCCTGGGTTCAAGGACTGGCAAAAAAAAAAAAAAAAGAAAGTTTAAGGAACACTAACTGAGAACCAGTCTTGTCATTCTATTTTCTAGAACAAATTATTTAGGCTGGGAATTCAATGATTCCACTACCATCCTCATTCTCTTTTCACGTTTAAATACAGAACTCAACACTCGTTTCTACAAGCGTGTTCAATTCCAAACACTCGTCTGGTGATTCGCCGAATCACAAAACAAAAATCAAGGTCAGAAACGGTCTCTCTTCTGGCAACACGGCGCCGCTGGTGCCCGCACCGAGCTGTACTCGGGTCTGCAGACCGGCTGGGCCCCAGAGCCGCGGCGGGCCAGCGGCCTTCGCGGGGAGCGGCGGGCCTCCGCCCGGGCCGGGGCACTGCGTGCGCGGCAGCCCGGCCCCCGCGGGGCGCGTCACCGGTGTGCGGGCCGGCGGCCGGGCGCGGCCTAGGCTGGCTGCCGCGAAGGGCGGCCGGGCGCGGCGCGGGCGCGCGGTCCTCACCGGGCGGCGGCCCTGCGCGCCGCAGTCACGGGTTCGCGCCGCGCCTTCCGCGGGGCGCGGGCCCCGAGGCCATCTTGTCTGCAGCCGCGGGCCGGGGCCGGCCCCGAGGCCGCCGGGCCGCGGGCCGAGACCGTTACCAGCCGCCGGCCTCCGGCTCCGCGGGGGCCGCGCGACCCGCGCCCCGCCCCGGGGCGGCCGCCGCCTTCGCCGAACAAAGGCCCGGACGCCGCGAGGCCCGGCGGGCCCGCCCGAGGGGCCGAGTCGGGGACGGCGGCCCCCGAGCGGCGTGGGGGCCGCCCCGCCCGCCCCGGCCCCGCGACCCCGGCCGGCCCGGGGACGCCGGTGCCCCAGCGACCAACCGCCGCCCGCCGCCCTGGTCCCGGAGGCGGCCGCGCCCGCGGACCTCGGGCCGCCCCTCCCGCGGCCCCGGAGCCGCACTTCCGCGGCGGGAGCGGGCGCCAGGCGCGGAACAAAGGCCGGGGCGGCGACTACTCACAGGAATATGTCTACTCATTGAAGATTGTGGCCTAATCATACAGCCGGTCCCGAGGCGGCGGCGACACAGGCGGCGGCGGCGGCAGGGCAGGGGGTGGCGGTGGTCGTCGCGGGGCGGCGGCGGCGACGGCGAGGCGGGCGGCGGGGAGGCACCAGACTACCATGCAGTGAGCCGCTCCGCGGAGAGCGCGACGCCGAGCCGGCCGCAGCCCCAGGAGCCAATGCGCGCGCCGCGGCGCCCTTGCGTCACAAACCCCTCCTTTTATAGCCGGCGCGACGTGCGCACCCCGGCGGCCAATCGCGGCCGGGACGCGGGCTCGGCGCGCGGAGCGGGGGCGGAAGCCCGCCCCCTACGTCACAGCCCGGCGGCTGCCGCCGGCGCAAACCGGTTAATGAATCGCCCGGGCCTTCCCCGAGCGGGGGAGGGAGCCGGAAGCCCGGGGCCGGCCGCTCGGGTCGCGTCACGGGCCGTGTCACGCGGGGCCGCCCCCAGACTTCACACTGTGGTCTGTGTCTCGGCCCGACCTCGCTCTGAAGCCAGCGCTCTGGGTCAGATTGGACAGCCCTTTACCATGGCACCGGGGTCTCCGTCCTCTCAGGACACTGACGTCGTGCGGCCACGACGCCGGTGCCTCCGCCTCCTCGTCACAGCCCTAGGCTGAAACCGGGCGGACCCCCGCGGCCGGGGGAGGGGGACAGCCTCGCGGAGGGCATCGGGGCGCAGAGACCCCGTCCTTCCGGCCGCCTGGCCGCGCCCCCGCGCCACGCACGCGCTGGGCGGTTCTGCCGGCGTCCCTGGCCACGCCCCCGCGCCACGCACGCGCTGGGCGGTTCTGCCGGCGTCCCTGGCCACGCCCCCGCGCCACGCACGCGCTGGGCGGTTCTGCCGGCGTCCCTGGCCACGCCGCGCGCCGCTCGGTGCCGCCGCCGCGCGCGTGGTCACCGGGAGCGGGGAGGCGCCGTCGGAAGTGAGGCTGGCCTGACTCCTTCCCCCGGCTGGTTCCCGCGGCCCCGCGAGCCCGCTCGGTCGCCGGGACGCCCGCCTGGACCCCGCTCGCTCGCTCGGTCGTCTCAGCCGCGGCGGGGCCCGAGGCCGGCGCCCCCCCCTCCCGCCTGGGCCGCAGCCACTTCCGGTTCCGGGCCGGCCTTTGGACGCGGGGCTGGGCCCCTCCCGCAGGGCCGGCGCGAGGGCGTTGGAAAACGACTCACTTGGAAGGGTCCGGCCTAGGATCCGTGCCAGTCGAGGGAGGCTAGAAGTGGAGACCGCGGCTCAAGCACGGGCGCCCCCCGGCGAGGTGGGCGCGCCCCGAGCCAGGCCCCGGAGGCCGGGAGCCATGGCGCCGCCGCCGCGCAGGCCCAGCGCGCTAAGCGGACGCCCTGGCCGGGCGCCGCGCCGGGGCCGGGCGAGGAGCGTGGCCCGCGGCCCTGAGTGCGGTCAGACGCATCCAGTCAGCCCCGTTCTCCGAAGCTGTGAGCGGAGCAATGACTGGTGTGACATGAAGTCAGCAAGTGTAAACGCCGGAGTCAGTGTTGGCCAGTCGTCCGATAGAACTTGTGATACAAGTTGTGATCCTGCAGTCCGCAGATTGTGTAATTACAACCAGAAGTGCTGACGTGAAGTGTTCAGTTATGCTTATTGACCTCTAAAAGCTGGGCTCAAACCCAAGTGGATTACGAAGCTCCTGGAGGTCTTAGTCTGTTGGAGGTATCACTGTATCCTACTTTGAAAAGGACTTACTTATAATAGAGGATCTGAAGTAGGGAATAGAAAAGAGTTAAAAAATAGAGCCTTTGGCTACTGAAAAAATTTTAAGCAAGATAATTATGTACATTATTAGTGACGCTCATTTCAAGCCTTGGAAATCCTTTTAATTCTCAATTATTTGGGATAGGTCTAATATCAAATATTTGCCTCATTATCTAACTTGGTATTCTGTAATATGTGATTCAGATATGTAACCTAAAAATGAAAGATTCACATATTCTGGGGGTGAAAATGGCACTCAGAATTTCAGTAACTTTGGCATGGTCACACAATGAGACAGTGATACTCCTGGAGTCGGGCAAGGCTCCTCTCATCTACACTGATTGGTCTCTTAGGATGTTAGTGCTGAGACGATGATGACAACGATGAGCGACCCTGACAATGTTCCTTTTTCTTCTGCAGAGACTTGCTCCCACACCAGGAAGAACCTGAAAGGAGTTGGTCACAATTCCCAGCTGCACTGCCAGTTTATGTGCTGAGATTCTGACCACAAGTGGAATGATCAGGCCAGGGATTCAAATCTCTCAAATTTGAAAGACATCTACAGGCTCGCAAGAAACTGAATGAGTTGTTGGTTTCAGGGCAGCACTCAGAATCCCTCACTAACCCTTCTCCCCAGCCAGAATCATGGCTGTGAAAGGAGGAATGCAGAAAATAGCTTCCTCATTTCTCTTTTCTTCCCATTCAAAAGGCAGCGTACTTGCTGGGTCATCCAGTTCTGTACATCACAAAGACTGATGAGCCACTGAAATTCTTACTGGCCCACAACATTTCAAACACACTAGCAATACAGAGGGCCATAGCCAGGAAACCTGAGGATAATAAATAGAATTCCGTTCTTATTCAGCTGTTTGTAAAATAAGGTCGATATATAGTTTTGGTAGGTCTCTCCACAGTAGTTTTTTGTTTTTTTGTTTTCTTTTTGGGTCTGGTCGTGGGGCCTGAACTCTGGGCCTGGGCGCTGTCCCCTCAGCTCTTCAGCTCAAGGCTAGCACTACCACTTGAGCCACAGCGCCACTTCCGGCTTTTTTCTTTTTGCTTATGTGGTGCTGAGGAATCGAACCCAGAGCCTCATGCATGCAAGGCAAGCGCTCTACCACTGAGCCACCTTCCCAGCCCCTCTCCACAGTAGTTTTATAGTATAGGATATACCATATAACAGATAGTTGTTTTTCATATAATTTAAGGGTCTCTAGCTTCTCTGGAATTCCAAAAAAATAGTAGTGAATACAGCGGTCCCTCACCTACTGGGGAGTGGGGGGGGGGGGGGGGCGTGAGGCAAGTGTAGCTCTGGGAAGGAGCTCCCGAGATAGGTGAGGAACCACTATTGTATTTTAACATGCAATATAGTGAAACTAGAATACATGATATAGCAAGGTACAACTGTATACTCTACGTAGCATTTTGTAGCTAGAAGATTCTGATTGCAAGATGAATGTCACAGTAGAACAAATGTTAACTCTGATAATGCCTAATTTCTATAACTATTTTTAAATTGGTAATGGGGCTTGAACTCAGGTCTGGCCGTTGTCACTGAGCTCTTTTGCTCAAGACTAGTGCTTTACTGATTTGAGCCACAGCTATACTTAAAGTTTTCTGGTGGCTCATTGAAAATAAGAGTCTCATGGACTTTCCTGCCCAGGCTGTGAGCCTCAGATCTCAGCCTCTTAAGTAGGGAGGATTAAAGGTGTGAGCCACCAGTGCAGTGCCCAGCTTTTATAACAATTTAAATAATATCTGGCAAACTAAAGCACAAGTGTTGACGTTTCTCCCTGATCCCTCTCTTGCCCTTTGCCTTACAACTGAACTTTTGTTAAATTCTCTATAATTTTCTTTCCCTTTTGTGGAGAAGCAAATTTAACTGCTTAAGAAATTGCTTTGTTATATTTTGTCCAGATCTTAGTTTGAATAATCAATTGTACTTGCATAAAGTAAAAATTAGAAAATGAAAAATGTCATAACAAAGAATGTAGGAGAGAACTCTGTCCTTCTGAGCTCACCTAGAAAAAAAGAGCTAAATTCAGTTTTTCTGAATAATCTCTCAATACTTACATCCTCTTCCAGAAAAATAAGTGTTTAACAAGGATGTGGACAAACTATCAGAGAACTAAAGATTATTCATCATTATTTAAAATGTAACTACAGTTCTCAGTATGTTATTATTACTATTAGAAAAAAAGATGTTTTGTCATAAGCGATTATGCAATTTGGCTTTTAATCATTATTTAGGCTCTTTTCTACAACTATGACAAAAGGAAAATTGGAATCATGTTACTTGAGATAGCACAGTGAAAATAACAGTATGGATTCCTCCTAGGCACCAAGTGGCTCACACCTGTAATCCCAGCTAGTCTGAGCTTTGAGGATCACAAGTTAAAGCCAGCCCCAGGCAGGAAAGTTTGTGACTCTGTGTCCAATTAACCACCAGAGAGCTGGACGTAGAAATGTGGCTCAAGTGGTAGAGCACTAATCTTGAGCACAAAAGCTCAGGGACAGCGCCCAGGCTCCAGCACCAAAAAATGGAAGGGGGTGGGGGGTACGGGGGAGATTCTTGAAAATGACCAGATTAAAAAAAAAAATCAATCTAAAAAAGAGGTAGAAAGAGGTCCAGTGGAAACGATTCAAATTGTGACCATGAAATAGAATCATTAAAATAGCTATGAGGCTAATTACTAAACACTTTTCATCCATTGGCGTCTGCAAATTATCCCAAGGTGAAAAAAAGGTTGTAAGTGTGAAAGCTGTTGGACACAGCTAAGAGACAAAAGCTACCCTGAACAAAGACTGAAGGGGTGAGGATTGAATGTATATGCTGAAAGGCAGCCTGGAAGGTTTGCCCTGCCTTCTGTTTCCAAATCTGTAGTTTAAATGGCTGGTCCAAGAAAATGCTCCTGTTACCTTGAATACAGACTCCCAGACACCATGTCTGCCCACCCGGAAGCTCTTGTGCTAGTCACAAAAATGACCGTGTGAAAGGAAACCCTTAATTTCCGATACATAAACACTTCTGAGCTAACTGTCAGTTGCACAGAATAAATGGAAAAAGAGGTTGGTTCAAGAACTCTTCTTCAAAACCAATCTATTTTTACTAATTTTAGATCCCTCTTTGCCCCCAGGGACTAAGCTCTGGGTATCATTCCCTGAAATACTTGCTACAGTGTTAAGTACATTTCTAAATATTAGTTGCACTGACAAACAAAAAGGTTCCTGAATCAGCCCTCCTTAGCTGTGAAGGGATCTCTGTATAAGCATCTGTTTAATTTATAAGCTTGTAAAACACCATGTTTGACCATCTTAACACTATACAATCTGCATAACTTGAGAACTCTCCTTGAAGTGTGGCCTCTCCCCTGTGGACCTCAAGTCCTGTGGACACCTGTATAGCTGCTCATTTTCCCCTCAATGCTGGTTTTCTTTGGAAGTGCTTTTGCAACTAAGAGCTAGCTTCTTGAAGCCATTTTGGTAATGCTTGAAAGCTTTTAAAATTCTCAAAGCTCAGGACCATCTCCTGGCCATTTAAGTCAGAATCTCTGGGATAAGGTCTTAGCATCAACTTGGTTCAGTGCTTTTTCCCTCCATCCCCCCCTCCCCCGAAAAAAACCCTCTAACTTCTCTTCACCAAGATTAGTTGAATCCTACAAACCTTTACTTCTTTCTCAGTGAAAGGTTTTCCCGTACGTGGTGTGAAAAGCACAGGCTAAATACACTCTACATAAGTCTACTGACTGTCAGTGGATCAGAACTCAGTGGAAATAGGAACCCTATTGTCTAACTGGAGTTTGGGTTGTATGGAGGGTAGAGAATGGCCATCCTGACTCCAGACATATCACAACATTCAACACCCAAGAATCTGGGGAAGGGCCATCATCCTAGTGAGGGAGAGGGCCCGAGAGCACTGGGACTACACCGTGGATTAAAAAGAGGGATATGATGTCAGATTTTTCACTTGCAACAGAGCGTACCTGTTCACAAACTGAAGGAAATTATAAGATCTACTTCCTAAGCCGGGGGCCAGTGGCTCATGCTGTAGTCCTAGCTACTCAGGAGGCTGAGATCTGAGCCAGCCCGTGCAGGAAACTCTGTGAGACTCTTATCTCCAATAAATCACTAGAAAACCAGAAGTGGTGCTGTGGCTCAAGTGGTAGAGTGCTCACCTTGAGCTGAAGACCTGAGGGACAGTGCCCAGGCCCAGAGTTCAAGCCCCATGACCAATCAAAAAAAAAAAAAAAAATCTGTTTCCTAGAGGTATTGATTGAATAAAGAGACACATATAAAATGGCTGAGAATGGTACTTGGCAAACATCACATACTTGGGAACTGTGCTGCTAGCAGGGTTTTAGTACATCCTTATGCTGCTTTTCTACAAAATGGCTTCTGTTTCTTTATCATGAAGTCTTTGACCATATTTTGTTTTTCCATGATTTAAAGCACAGCTTGTAGCACATGGAGGAAGCTGAAAATTTTTTTTTACTTAGTTAATAAAAACAACATATTTTTGTGTTTTAGTTTTTTTTTTTTTTTTTGAGAGTCTCACTATGAAGCTAAGCTATCCTCAAAATTTCTGTTTTCCTGACAGTTTTCTCAGTACTGGGATTACAGGCATATGCCACTTCATCTGGCTTAATTATCTTTTAAAGGGTATAAACAGTTCACAAGGTTTCAGGGCTTTAAAAACAAAACCTTTTAAAATAACTCAAGGGCTCACACTGGGAAATCTACAAAATCTACAATAACAAATCCATAAATTCAGGACAAGTCTCTTCCTGCAATTACCGAAGGCATGAAGAAGATCATCAGAGATGGCCACCAGCTAGGGAGGTGGGTGTGCCATTCCTAGGGGTCAGGCTTCGGTGACCGGTGGTGGACTGAGGGTGGACCACTGTGGAGGAGGGAGCCCACCAGAGGAGAAAGCACCTTCCCTCAAAGTGGTGGGCAAATGGCCACCAGTAGAGTAAAAAAGATCCTCAGACCCCAGAGACCTAACATTCTATCTGAGGAGTGGGATCCACAGTGCTTTTGTAAAGACAGATTTAAAGTTTTTGTAGGGCTTAATTTTTTTTTGTATTTTCCCATTAAATTATTTACAGTGGCTGGTGCTTCATCCCTGTGATCCTAGCCAGCTCAAGCAGGAAAGTCTGTAAAACTCATACCTCTAATCAACCTCCAAAAAGTGAGAGCTGTGGCTGACATGGTTGAGCACTAGCCTTGAGTAGAAAAAGCTTACAAACAGCATCCAGGCTGAGTTCAAAACCAAGGACGGGGTCCCACTGTGTTGTCTAGGCTGCCTCTGAGAACTCAGCCCCCTGCTTCAGCCTTGCCTGTAGCTGACGAAGCACTATAATAAAGATAAGGTTGAAATCATTTTGGTGAGGTGTCCAAGTATAACACCATAGATTCCACCAGGTATAAGACCAAAATTTGGTCTTTATCTTATAGAAAACAAGTAGTATTGGAAAACAGAATACAAATATATTTTGAGGATTTTTTTCTGTGTCTATAGATTCATTAAGTGGTCCAACTCTGTAGAACCAGATTGGCTCTGAATCTTTAAAAGGTATGAAAGAATTCAATTTCTGTGTGTGTGTGCACTTGACCTCGGTCTAGGCACTGGTCCTGACCTTGAACCCTCAGGCACTCTACCGCTTGGGCACAACTCCACTTCTGGCGTTGTGTTTTGTTTTGTGGGGGTTTGGCTGTAAAGGTGGTGCACAGAGGGATTACAGGTAAATACGTACAGTTCTTTTTGGACACCATCACTCCTTCCCCCCACCCTCACAAGTTGAGTAGTACATTTTCAGCAGTGTCCAGCGAGTACAAGTGCTGTTTGTTCACTGTTTGCCCC